TATGTAAAGAGATTTTCTTTACTGTGGAAAAGCTTGCTTTAAGGCTGCAGGCTCCGAGGCTGCAGGCACCCAGGAAGGGGTCAGGGGAAAATGCTGCCCATCTGTCCCCTTCCAAAGCAACCTTGCAGGTTTTCAAGATCACCCGGAGAGGCGTTTTTTAAAAAGAAAATCCTGAAAAGCCACAAGATCTGGAGAGATGGGCAGCCAGTCTTTTTTTGGGGGGGGGTGGAAATCCTTAGAACCAGGAGTACAACCCACACGGCTTGTTCAAAGAGCAAAAGAAAAGGACAGGAGAGGAGTTTGGCTATTTGAAAAGCCTGGCTTGGAACTCCTCTCCTGTTCCTTCTTTTGCTGTTTCTACATGCCAAGCGGGTCATGCTGCCTTGTCGGCAAGTGCGCTTTGCAACGACAGGGGCCAGGAGCGGTACTGGCATTCCTGGAAGTTAATTACTTTCGGGTTCACCAACCATCCGGTTCGCGCGAACCGGGGCGATCCGGGAGGAACCCTCCCCTGCACTCCCCCCCCCAAAGGACACTGCCCCTCCTTAAGAAATTAACAACATCTAGAGAAATGGCCAGCATGCAACTCCTTGAGAGTAAGTATACCTTCAGTGAAAGAATTTTTTGCTTTTTCTGGATTAGAGCTTTAGAAAAACTGAACCAATTATTCCAAAGAAAAGCAGTATCCAAAATTCTCCATTAAGTTAAACTCTAAAAACACCAACTGAATCTAAATATTAAATTATCCCCAAAAGTCCACTATAGTATTTTGGAGACAAGGAGAAGACAGGCTCATCATGCCCATGTCTTTTTCATCTTTAGAATATGTTTTTCCTGTAAGTAACTGAGTTTTATGAAGAAAAATACATTTAAAACAAATCATCTCTTTAACTCTGCATATTTAGTCTCTTGGTTCTTCATTGTTTTCATTTTCCTGATCCAGGAACTGTTAGCCTTCAGCCTGTTACCAGCGCCATTCTGACTTTTAATGTAATTTTTAACTTGAAGACAACTGAATGCAATAAGGAATCTTCAAATTAGAAAAAAATTGTAAGACTGAATTGGAGATCACTTCTTGCAGATAACACGTCATAAAGCTCGATGTGTTGGGAATCATTCTAGATAAGTTCATAAAAGCAATCAAAACAGTTTCTTCTTGCACCCAGGCTGCTGGCATATGTGCTATATTCAAGTTGAAAAATAGTTGAAGCATTCCTTTATAGATAATAAGGACAGGCTATTATAGATAAACAACATTAGAGTTTAGAGAAAAGTGTTAACTCTTAGAGTGTAGCAGTTGAAATCAGATCAGAAAGGTGGTAACTTATGTGTCAAAAGTAGTACAGTTTACTTGTCATTATTAGTCTCCTAATTGAGCCTGAGCTCACCATGACACCTATCCAGGTGGCTGAAGGTTAGAACAGACTTCTATTGAATTCTTTCAAGACTGAATGGCTATAAGTCCTCTGGTTCAGGAAACATGCTCTCTTGATATTGGGTAAGTTGCGCTGCCCCAAACAGTCATGGTACACAGTCTTGGAGTATTGTTTACCAGGACAAAGTACACAAGACTTGTGATTACTGCTTGAAAAGTAGATGGCAGTACTGGCTAGCAGGTCTTGTTATGTACCAAATTATGCCCATTCCTGGATTTGGAGACTTAGCTCATAATCATTCATCTGATCACTTCCCAGACAGATTATTACAATATGATATACTTCAGTGGTGGGTTCCGGATCCTGTTCCAACCAGTACAGTTGGAACGGGCCTGGCGGCGTCCACATGAACCTGCGCAGCACACGCATGTGTTTTAGCGCCTCCATGAGCCTCCATGATGCTCCAGCTGCTCAGTGGAGCATCGTATAGCCGCTGTATGCACCATGCATGGAAGTGTTGAAGACTTAAAAGATCGGCAAGGAGCTTGGCTCTGATATGCCCTGGTACCATACCGGGGTGTACCGCCTGCGACCCATCACTGATCTACTTGAAGTAGCCCATGAAGAATATTCAGAAGCTTCAGCTGGTACAAAATGTAACAGTGTAGGCACTTAGACCAGCATGTTAAACCTCTATCAGCAAGGGCAGTTTGCCAGTTTGCCCCTGGGTTCAATTAAAGGTGGCTTTGACCTTTACAGCCCTTCATGGCATGGAGCCAGATTATTTGAAGGACTGCCTCTAGCTGATTACATCAACCCAATCTCATCAAGTCTGGTCGAAGAGGAATCATGTGGATTTTATCTGCAAAAGAGTTACACCTGGCAGGATCCAGGAAACAGTCTTTTCCTGCTGTGGCACCCCCCCCCCCCCTGTAAAACAACATTCCTCCTGAAGTGAAAATGGCTCCATCTGTCAGCCTCTGTTTTGCTGCTTGCTTTTCAGATGCCATTGAAACGGGGAGGGAGGGCATGGTATTTGGTTGGGGAAATGATCTGTGCAGGAGGACTGTTTGGGAGGGGAGTTTTATTTGGGAGTTGTTCTCACCATCCATTTGTGCATGTGGAAGGAGGGGAGTTTCCCGCCAAGGCCAACTGTCCAGCATTCCAACCTGATGAT